CCAAGCACATCAACAAGCATCCAACCAGAACCCCTGCCAATCGCCAAGCTATCCACCACAGGTTCGTTCGTTTGTTATTCGTCGTCGTCGCTACGTTAGACGTGTCTTCCCTGTCTTCCATGGAACAGGTACCTTACAGGCCATCATCCTACGCCGCCCATCCCTCCCACCACTTCCCTTGGCTCATTCACTAACAGTTGCGCTGCCAGACCGGCACGGAGCGGTAGCCGTACAGAGAGAGAGAGAGAGAGCGAGAGACAGACACACGTCCACGCCCGCATACGCACCATACTCAATCGACCGACGGATACCTTCCACTGCCTTTCGGTCTTCACTTCTTCGGCCCTACGTTCACTACCAACCCTGGCGCCCCAGCCAGTCCCGTTCGCTCGGCTCCATTTACCTTCCCCGACTGGCCGCCGTTGTCTGCTTCCAGTACTCGCACACCCCCCAAACACCCAAGAACCAAGACCCCGACGGAAGGGACCTGACGGATACATCCATCTTCATTCCTAGCTACCACCATACATACGCTATCCAGCACTTGTTACTTTGAACCTGGCCCGTCTTCCCCTCCCTTGGCACAAGTCCCCTCGCCCGGACCTCAAGTATAACTTGACACCACCCTCCACGCTTGTTCCACCCTTCCTCTCTCTTCTTCTCCTTATCACCACCCCGATCACCCAAGCTCTTCGCTTGCCATTTTCTCCCCAACTCTTCAACAAGACTTTCGTCTGCTGGGCTTTCACAAAAGCACCAACACCCTTGAATCTCGAGCGCCTTCTTTAGCTGAACCTACCGATATCCGATGGGAGAACCCGAAGCCGTCAGGCATGGTGAACAACACACAGCTGCTGCGGAAGTCAACCCCGAGCAGGACGAGCCACCGTCTATACCGCGGCCCCCGCCCATACCCAACCCCGTCCCTCAACGGCCTGCCCACGCCGCTCCTGCCTCTGACATAGGATTTCTCTGGCAGACCGACCTTGAAAATGGCCTCTCCAAGGCTGAGGCGCAAGCCCGCCTCGATCGTGATGGGCCCAATCGCATCGAGGGTGCTAAGGGCCTCTCCATTTGGGAGATTGTCATGAGACAGATTTCCAACAGTCTGACCCTCGTTCTCGTGATCGTCATGATCCTATCTTTTGCCATTCAAGATTACATTGAAGGCGGCGTTATCACCGCCGTCATTCTTCTGAACATCGTCGTGGGGTGAGTCTTTGCCCCCCTCGTTTTGCTTTCTGTCTTAGCATAGCATGCCTTTCTTCTGTCCTCTTCTCCCGATGGTTCTGCTGCACACGCGGGCACTTCTTCGACTTGCCTGTTTGGTGGTACGGCTGCATAGTGTGGTTGGTTGAACGAAATGCCACTTGCGCCGCCCGTGGGTTGGGTGACACCCCTCCGACCACTCGCCCAGAGAAGTGTACAAGGGTGTCAGCGGTGTGGCTCATCCCCTGCCCCTGCCCATGTCGTTCACATCTCCACCAGCCTCACGTCTCACACTCGCCAACTCTTCCAATCTCGCTGCTGACAATTTCGTAGCTTTATTCAGGACTACAATGCCGAGCAGACAATTCAGTCTCTGTACGCGCTGTCCGCCCCGACATGTAAGGTCGTCCGCGACGGTATCGCGGAGACCGTCAAGGCAGATTCACTCGTCAAGGGCGATCTTGTCATGATCGCTGTTGGCGATGTCGTCCCAGCCGATCTTCGTCTTCTCGAGGGTATCAACCTCTCTATCGATGAGGCCCTCTTGACTGGCGAGTCGCTACCCATCAGCAAGCACCCTGAAGCCATCCTCGAGGAGGAGGACATCCCTCTCGGCGACCGCATCAACATGGTCTATTCTGCTACTACCGTCACTCGCGGACGCGCTCGCGGCATCGTCACCACTACCGGCATGGAGACCGAGGTGGGAAAGATTGCCATGATGCTGCGCACAACCCGCAAGCGAGACGAGAACGCCTCTCTGCCCAAGCGCGCTGTTATGCGCTTCAAGGCTGCTATGAAGAGCATCCTGGGTCTTGAGGGCACTCCCCTTCAGGTCAAGCTGAGCAAGTTTGCCCTTCTACTCTTCGGACTGGCCATCCTACTTGCCATCATTGTCTTTTCCGTCAGCAAGTTCGACATTGACGACCAGGTCCTCATCTATGGTATCTGCGTCGGAGTGGCCGTTATTCCCGAATCCCTTATCGCAGTTTTGACCATCACCATGGCTGTTGGTACCAAGGCAATGGCGTCTGGCAACGTTATTGTCCGCAAGCTGTCTTCTCTCGAAGCCGTTGGAGGTGTGACCAACATCTGCTCCGACAAGACTGGCACACTTACCCAGGGACGCATGGTTACCAGGAAAATCTGGCTGGCCGAAGACACAACTGCCATCATCGAAGGCACTACCGATCCCTATGATCCGACTAGCGGCACGGTTAGATGGCCCGGATCCGCCGCATCGAGCTCGGCCTCTAGTGGAGCGTCGACCCCGACGGTTGAGAAGACCGACGACACCATCCAGACATCTTCTATGGGCTCATTTCTCAAGGCTATTGCGCTCTGCAACAACGCCTCCGTTACCGATGGCAAGACGGCCACCGACACTGAGTCCATGACCACCGCCACCGAGGTGCCCGTCTCATGGTCCGCTATTGGCGAGCCCACCGAGATCGCTCTCCAGGTCTTCGCCATGCGTTACGGAAAGGGAAAGAACGACCTCGTCTCGTCTGAAAAGACGAAGATGGTCTATGAGTTTCCCTTCGACTCCTCGTGCAAGCTCATGAGTGTTGTCTACGAATTCCCTTCGGCCCCTCGTCAAGTATTCACCAAGGGTGCTGTTGAGGTTATGCTGCAGCGCCTGGCTGAGCCGGAAGCTGTCAAGGCCAAGATCGCCGCCAAGGCCGACGAGCTTGCCTCCGAAGGTCTCAGAGTCCTCTGCGTCGCTCACAGGTTCCTCGACAGCGACGACAATGCGAGCGAAAGAAACGAGGCTGAGTGCAAGCTTCGCTTCCTGGGTCTTGCCGGCTTGTACGATCCTCCTCGTGTCGAGACTCTTGGAGCTGTGAAGCTTTGCAAAACTGCTGGCATCTCTGTGCATATGGTCACCGGAGATCACATTAAGACTGCAACTGCCATTGCCCACGAAGTCGGCATTCTCACCGGAGGGGAGCAGCCGACTGCTGTTATGGCGGCTGGTCAATTCGACGCCCTCAGCAATGAGGAGGTTGATGCTCTTCCCGCTCTTCCCCTCGTCGTCGCCCGCTGCAGCCCACTGACCAAGGTCAGAATGCTCGAGGCGATGCATCGTCGCAAGGCTTATTGTATCATGACTGGTGATGGTGTGAACGACTCCCCCGCTCTCAAAAAGGCGGACGTTGGTATTGCGATGGGCAAGAGAGGCAGTGACGTCTCCAAGGAGGCAGCAGACATGGTTCTCACTGATGATAACTTTTCATCTATCGTAACTGCCATCAAGGAGGGTCGTCGCTTGTTTGACAACATTCAGAAGGTAGTTGATTTCCCTCCCGTTTTGTGTATTCAGACTAACACGTAGATCAGTTCCTGCTCCATCTCCTGATTTCCAACATTGCCCAGGTCATTCTTCTCTTGATTGGACTTTCTTTCAAGGACCGCAGTGGCACTTCCATCTTCCCACTCTCCCCCTTGGAGATTCTATGGGTCAACCTCATTACTTCCTCGTTCCTGGCCATCGGTTTGGGTTTGGAGGAAGCTCAACCGGACATTCTTTTGCGCGCACCCCACGACCTCGGCATTGGTGTTTTCACCTGGGACCTGATCCGCGACAAGATGATCTACGGTTTCTACATGGGCTCCTTATGTCTCGCCGCTTTCACCTCCGTTGCTTACGGCCCTGGTGGCGGAGACCTCGGAAGCATGTGCAACGACGGTTACAACGACACCTGCGGTGTTGTCTTCAGAGCTCGCTCCACCGTCTATGCCACCCTGAGCTTCCTGCTCCTGGTTACCTCTTGGGAAGTAAAGCACTTCCAGCGCAGTTTGTTTAACATGAACCCCGAGTTGTGGACCGGCCCGTTTGCTGTTTTCAAGACTGTCTACAAGAATCGCTTCCTCTTCTGGGCTGTCGCCGGTGGTTTCGTGTTGACTTTCCCCGTCATCTACTTGCCTGTGGTCAACCGTGCCGTTTTCAAGCATGACATGATCACTTGGGAGTGGGGTATTGTTGCCGCTTGCCTGGTCGTGTACATCGCTCTTATTGAGTGCTGGAAGGCCGTGAAGCGCCATCTCGGTCTCGGCATGAACCCCCGCGTTCCTGTCGATCAGGTCTAGTCTGCCACCTAGAATGACAACGAATTCGCTGCAAAGCGAACGGGAGGAAACGATGAAGTGGTTCAACAAAATGACGCCTTGGTGTCAGTATGACTTGAAGGGGTCGGGCCGGACATAACTCCGGTGCATGGATATCAGAATTTGGGGCTATTCAACATCAGCCTGACAGGCTTCATGGCTTAGGTTTCATTTTCGATTCTTTCAACATTCATTTAAACAGAAATACTTTGCATCAGTCGGCTGTAGAGTAAATACTCCAGCCATGAGCAGCAAAAAAGCGAGCTGAGTTTGATCAGCTCTCACCACCCTTGGCCTTCTCCAGACGCGTGATCATTGCAGAGTGATATCGGCTAGAAATCTTCCCGTTGTTGTTAATCTAGAGCGTGAACCACCGCCGTGTTGCTTGTAAATGTTCTTCTCGGTTTGTAGATCATGCACTTGACGCCCGGCCAAACCCGCGGAGAGGGGCCGAATCCTTCAACATCCTTCAATTCTTCCGACCCGGTCCCTCCCCGTCCCAACTTCCTATACCGGCAACTCACCTGACCTCCACAGCGGGTCAAACCGGGGGTTGGGGCAAACGCTGGGTTGCCGATAACCACCGCCAGATCACGTCAAGGTTCATCCAATGCGTCACGAACCCAATTCCAGAAGTCTTTAAATAGGCTTCGAGGTCGCGGGATGAGCCTTCTTAGTACCACATGTGCCACCACCACCAAGCAAGTTCCTTTGAAGAAAGCAGCCCGTCATCTGAGCCCACACCGTTGCCCAAGATGAAAGTCCTGATTCTCGGGCTCCCCAGGACAGGAACCCAATGTAGGCTGGCCAATGGCCATTCCCTCCTCTTTGACGATGACGCATATTGACAGATCTCGCCGCAGCTCTCGCCGACGCGCTGATCCAGCTCGGGATCAGCCCCGTCTACCACATGCGCGAAGTCGGGGTCAACCACCACCAGGACTTTTGGATCCGCGCCATCGAGGACCACATCCCGCCCTTCTCCACGTCGAAGCAGAAGAAGCTCACCACCACCCCCTGGACCCGCGAGCAGTGGGACACCATCCTCGCGCCCTACGAAGCCGTCTCCGACTTCCCGCCGGCGCTCTTCCCAACGGCGCTGGCGGCCGCGTACCCTGACTGCCCCATCATCCTCTCCACGCGATCCTTCGAGTCCTGGGCGGCGTCGATGCGCGACACGCTGATCCACGGGTTCGTCAACCGCGACCGCGAGAAGAGGAGCCCGATGGAGGGGCTGGCGGCGGCGTACCACTCTGCATGCTGGGGGGACGACTTTGAAAGGAACGGGCGGGGGTATTGGGAGCGGCACCATGAGGAAGTGAGGGCGCTGAGGGAGGGCGGGAGGCGGTTTTTGGAATTTTGTCCGGGGGACGGGTGGGGCCCGCTTTGTGAGTTTCTGGGGGTAGATGTGCCTGAGGGCGTGCCGTTTCCGAGGAGTGATGATTGGGTTGAGTATAAGAAGAAGGTTGAGCGGGAGAGGACGGAGGGGAAGGTTGAGCGAGGTTGCGTGGTGGATTGGAGTTGAACGTTTGGTTGCAGTAAGGAAAACGCGTATAGATTTAGTTATTTACCTCCTTAGCCGTTTCGGATGCAGCAAAGAATGCCATCTAAGAATTAACGTATGGGGACCGGTCATCCAATCCGCCCAGAGCCAAGCTGTCGGGTTCATGCATGCCACGCGGACGAGATCTAAGCCTCTCCCGCCTCAAAGGGGGCATGCCATGCAACACCAGGCGCTGCGGCTAACTGTGAAATAGGCTAACAAAAGCATAGCCTATAGGGAATTCTCCAAGCAGATATAGTCCGTTGCGTTAACAGCGTCCGCCCCTCCTTTTTGCTGAAATTACGCACGCATAATCCCTATATATACATGAAAATTTGCCTAACACTACGTAGATACTTATAGTATAGCAATTAACCTATTTTGATAGCTTTAATTAATCTATTCCTATTAAATCTTATCGTCTAAGGGTATTATAATGCCTCCTAAACGCTACTGCGCGGCTTAGTAGGTGGATAATAATCTATTTAGGTATTATCTATCACCTATTACTAATAGTATATAGAAATAATGATGTATATAATAACTAATATAGGATGCTACTAGAGATCCTCCTTAACGCTCTATTTTACTATTAATTAGGATTATTATGCCTACTAAGAGGGCTTATTAGGCTACTACTATTAAGGAGGCTACTGAAGAGGCTACTGCTAAGGTTATTATTACTAAAGCTAGACTTAAGACTAATAATTTAGTAGCTCCTAAGTCTATATTATAAAGAAGGTATATATTTATAGTACCTCTATTATTATAAAGAGCTCTAAAAGTATTCTCTTATTAAAAAGTAATAATAATATAGAGGAAGTAAAAGAAGGATCTACTATATATAATTTAGTTCTAAAGTACCCTACCTTTATTAATACTATCTTTTTAATTAGACTTAACCTTAGTTAACCTAACCCCTTATTAAATTACTTAATTTATAGATAATATACTTATAACCCCTCGCTATAGTGCTAATAATATATTTATATTATTTTATAATATATTTAAAGAGGAGGATAATATAGGTAATAAGAAACTAACTCTACTATAAATCTAAGTTACTTATAGCTTAGTACTTAAAGGTAATAGTTTACTTATTCTTAATCTAATTATTAAGAGTATTATATATAATAGATTTAGTATTACTAATATATTAGATATAAATAATAGAGACTAGGAAATAGATAGTAATACCTAATTTAAAGTAGAAGTAGCTTATTTATATATTCTAAAGAAAGCTAGTATTACTATTATTATTACTTAGAGGAAGCTTACTAATATATCTAAACTAACGCTAATCTTTACTTAGGTCTATCTATCTATTAGAGAGGTTATTTAGCTAAGTATTCTATAAATTAATATTATTCCCTCTCTTAAATAAACTAAAGAGAGGGGTAAAGTCTACCTTACTATTAAGTAGTAATATAGTGCTATATTAATCTCTAGTAGTATAGTGACTAGTATATAAACGCCTTAAAAAGGTAGCTAAGTAGGCATTTCAGCTAGTATATAAGAGGTAATTAATTATAAGCTTAACGATCTTATAAACGTTAAGCGTTAGAAGGAGGGTATATATAAATAACTTCTCTATATATATATTTACCTAGAGTACTAGAAATATAAGAATAGTTTAGGTAATAAGAAGTTTAACTAGTATTATATATTAAACTAGAAGTATTATAAGATTAAATCTTACTATATAGAGAAGTAAGTAAAAGCTCTTATAACTAAATAGACTAGTATTACTAATATAAAACTACCTAAAGAACTACTTAGTGAGATTCTTTATAACTAGTTTATAGAGGATTAGAAATACTAAGGTAAGAGAAGTAAAAATATTATTAAGGTTAATAATAATTAGGAGATAATAGTGATAATAAAAGAGAAGGCTAAAAATACTATACTTCTATTATTAAGGTTAAGATCTAGCCTAACTAATACTAATAGCAACACTATTATTAATATATATAGTAATATAAGGGCGCTAAATTATTATCTTTAATATCCTAACCTATATATATAGCTACTACTACTAGCGTTAGTACTAGTAGTATATTAGTTATATATAAATATCTCATAGTATTTATTACTAACTCTTCTACTATTAAACCTTCTAAGTATTTATTAACTAAGTATTATACTCTTAATTTATTTATTCTCACTAGTAGTATTAAATTTACCTTAAAAAGTTTTAGATTAAGTAGCTAGCTTTATTAAGTAGTTTATATCTATCTATAGTAAGTAATATAATATTAATAAAGAGTTCAGAAAGAAGCTATAGAAACTATAATTAATAGATAGTAGCTTATAAGTAGTTTATAAGTTACTAGATATTTAGTTTACTAAATAAGGTTTTACTTAAGATCTTACTAAAGATATTAGGAACTTAATTAAATCCTTTATAGATAATAGCACCTACTATAAAGGGTAGTCTAATATTATTTCTAATATAATATCTTATTCTAAACTTTATTTAAACTATTAAGAGTTAGAGGGAGATATTTATATGAGAATATATACTAAATTACTAGGAGGGATGATAGTAGCGCTAGTTAAAAACTCTATAGTGCTAGTTTTAGGTAAGTTAGGGTTATCCTAATATATTAATACCTTAATACTATATTAATCTATTGAGTAAGAGATCTATAGTATACTAGTTGAAGTTAGTTAACATGGTAAGTATATATAGAGCTATTTACTATTAAATATAGCTAACTTTATAAGTATTTTAAAACTTTTTAGTTTTATTTTGTTATTACTACTATTAGTATTATAGATACTACTTATATAGTTTTAGATTAAATAAGATAAAGTTAAGTAAGGTGGTAAAGATAATTAGATTAAAATCTTAAGTGATATATTATTAATAGAGACGTATTACTTAGAGGAGGATAAGGAAGAAAAGTAATATAGTAAAAGTAGTGTGAAGTTTAACTATATATATGATTTTCTTATATAATATATTTAACTATAGAAAAGTCTACTTATAGCTATAGATTTAACACTACTACTATATATATATAAAAGCTATAGAATTACTGTGATTTTAGATCTATAAATAAGATAATCTATCTTAATACTTCTTAGTTTAATATAGTTAAAGTCTCTAACTATAATTAAAGTCTCTAACTATAGTGATATATTATTATTATAAATTATCGCTATAAGTATTAATAATATATTTCAGCTACTATATAGGTAAAATTGATATATATATATAGCTACTAATAAAAATAATAGATAATAATATATTTTCTATGTTCTTATACGCTTATAGCTGAACTTTTTGTAATCTTACTAGCTATAATTATAGATCTAATAATTTCCTACTATATAATAATATAATTAAGATCTATCATAATTATATAATAAAGATTTAGATTACTTATTAATATTTAATATTTATAATTTATCCTCCCTTTTATAGTTTAATATTATTAAATATATACTTTATCCTATTAAAGTTAATAAATAAATAGTAGAAATAGCCCTTAATTTAGGGTAGATAATACCTAATCTCTATAGCGTAATTATATAGATATTCTATAAAATCCTAAGTATTATTCTTATTATTATTCTACTTTAAATATATCTTCCTAATATATCGCTTTAGATTACTGAAGTACTCCTTAATAAGGTTAAAGTTTAGTAAATATAGAGGTAGAAACTTAAGATTAATACTTAATACCTAGCATAAATCCTCAACTTTAAGTATATAATAATAAGAGAGGTTATCTATAATAATAATAGAGTTTAGTTCTAGAAAATACTTACACTTTAGGATAAAGTACTCTTATAGCTAATAAAAGAACCTATTACTATTAGTTATACTATAATATATAGTTAAGTATAAGATACTACTTAACGTAAAGGCTAGTAGGATTTATATATAAGAGTTCTAAAACTAATTAATCTCTATAGTTTGAAACGTAATAAGCCTTTTTAGTACCTATCTAGTCCTCTATATCTTAATATCCTTATTAACACTAGATTTATTAATAAATACTAGCTAGTTAGGGTGATATTATTATATATAGTATAGGTACTTATATTATAGTTTATTACTTTACTAAGTAGTAATAATTATAGACTTCTTATTTATCTAGCTAGATATATTTAACTATTAACTAATTATAGAATAATTAATCTAGATCTTAAAAGCTTTAAATAGGAAATCTTATATCTCTTTAAGGGATAGGTTACTATAGTACTATAGTAGTTTAAGAAGCTCTATATAATACTATATTTCTATCTTTTATTAACTCTAGTAGTACCTCTTATATCTCTATACCTCGCTAGTAATATTACGTTATGATCTATATTATTAAATTATTCGTTTAGTATAGCTAATAATACTTACTAGCTTATAAGTCTTTTAGTCTTTAAATAGTAGTATTATTATAATTACTAATAGCTATAGATTTAATATTCTAAGTATTATTATATTATTATTATCGCTTAATGTCTTTCTCAGTATATCTAATATAATAAACTATAGATATATACTAACTAGCAGTAAACTATAAGTAACTAGGTATTATCTATATAGTAGTAGACTTTTACTTAATATTATAAATAAGCTGAGCTATTAAGGGATTTATTACTTTAGTTAACTACTAAAGCTATTTACTCTAAAGAACTATATTAAGCCCCCTAGTATACTTTTATATTACTTAGAGTTATATAAAACCTATACTAAGTAGATATATAAAGCTATATTATAGGTCTCTTCTCTTATTCCTTAGTAATATTATCCTAATCTCCTATAAGATTTACTAGTTAATTAGTATAGGGATAGGGTGACTAGCTAGGTTAGTAATACCTCTATAAGCAAATTAACTATTATAGAGGTATTAGATATATATCTTATATCTCTATCGTATAATTATATATTTAAATACTACTATAACTATAATAATTAACAGTAATTAAGGTACTAGCGATAGGTTTAACATGTTTTGCGTGCGATGCGGCAAAATGCGCGTTATAGCGTAAAATTGGCTTTTTTTCATGTTTTTGCATAAGCGGGGAAAAAAAGGGGGGGCGGACGCTGTCAACGCAACGGACTGTAGGCGCGGCGGCACGGTGGAGTGAAGGTCTTTTTCCGTGTGGAGGGACGGTGCAGGGTCTAGCAACGATTTTCTATATGCGTACAGATGGCCGGCGCTATACGTGTATATGCCTACCGCGACGGTCTGTCACTGGAGATGAATGCGTATGCGTATAAACAACGAAAATGGGAGGGCTTGGCGGGAATTTGTTAAAATACAACCATCCCGCCTGGGTGTGTTGTGAAGTTTGGATATTCCAGGATCCAAGTTACTTCGACCTTTTCGCTTCACCAACACTGCAACCGCCTGCCGCACACAGCATCTCTTGTCAACACAGCATCAACACCACCAAGCAGACATCATCCCAGCAGAACCGACTCCATCATGGACAAACTCAGAACATTCTTCGACAAGCCCTTCTTCGACCCGCGCCACAAGACCAAGGTCCACATCCTCCAGCTCGTCCTCATGACCACCGCCATCATCCTCACCATCGCGCGCATGGCCATGCCCGTGATCACAACGCGAGCCAACATGATGGCCCTCACCATGGTTCGTTCCATCCCTCGCCTCCTTCTCAGATTGGCTGCTGACCTCGGACCACCGAACAGGGCATCAAATCCTTCATCATCATCGGCTACCAGCTCCTCACCGCGCACAAGGAGCGCTTCAAGAAGTGGGCCTCGCTCAAGGCCAACGCGATCCTTAACACAATGGAGATTGTGTTCTGGTTCGTCGCGTTCGGGCTGTTGTTCTCGGCGAACACGACGTTCTGCACGGGGGCGAGTTGTGCGCTGAGTTGGATCGTGACGCTGCTTTGCGCGGTGTTGATGTGAGTTTTCGACGGATCTTCTTCTTTCTTCCCGTTCTATTTTTTTCGATGAGGTTTGCTAATGCGTGTATGACTGCAGCGTTCTCGCTTTCCAGACGTCGGTCGTGTCCATCAAGGAGTTTCGGTATTTCAAGAACTATGGGGTTACATACGAAACGAATTATCCAAAGGTTTAGAGAAGGTCCAAGGAAGAAGAACGGGTGAAGTGTTCCATATCATACGGACACAGGGAACAACGGTTGGCATGGTTTCCGCTATGGATTATGGCACGTTAAGAGGATAGAAGTCTTATTGGCACAAGTCGGGACCATGGCGTTGGGGCGTGTATGATTCTTTAGATGGGCCTGCGGGATGGGGATGGCCAATTGACGAGAGGGACATCGAATTGATACTAACATACGAATCAACCATTCGCTATTTCTTCGCGACTTTCCTCCGTGTGCCTTTCTTCAAGTCTCACTCACCATCTCAGCCTCCAACAGGCGACGTGCCCTAGCCACAACACCCGAAATCGAGTCGCAACATTGGGTCTCGTCTCATTCGACTCGGCGTGGGGGGCGGCAGCAACTCTGGGGTAAGATGACGGCGGACGATAGCGGTGACCATGATAGCCAGCACACAGGAAACTTACTTAGTCACTCTGTAGGGAATATAGGTAGTCCAGGGTAGTCTAAATCTTCATACCTCCCTCAGCCTACTCTAGTTATGATACTCATGCACGGTGCCCACTGTCTCGTCCTCGCCAAAGTGGATGACATGCGCCGTCCGGGCCTGGTCCTTTGCCCACTTCTGCAGCTGTGGCGCGAGAATTGCGTAAGCGCGCGACATTGACATGAAAGCCCCAGCCGTGTAGCTGCAGAGCTCGCCCCATCTCTTGATAGCTGGCTTCGACCCTTTGCGCATATCCTCCATTGACGTATTCTCGAAGATAAAGCCTGTGGCCTCCAACGCCTTGATCGTCCGCTCCAGGGCCTCCCTCATCTTGCCGCGCGCCAGGGAGCACTTGCCGAGGGCCAGATAGCCGTCCCAGGGCCCCAAACGCAGGGCTCCCTCACGGCTTGGGTAGGTTTGGTCCAGCTCTCGCACAAGTCTCAAGGCTTTCAGCTCTTGAGCTAGAGACGTCTTGCAACCTCGGATGGCCTGAATCATATTCTCCCGAAGAGCCTTACGCTTGAGGAAGACTGCCTTTGGCGTCAACTTCCTGTCGAGGCACAGCTCGCACTCGCAAGTGAAGCCCCATCTCGAGAATCGCTTTTGAGTCGCCTTATAGTCGTCTCCGGTCTCGAGTGACTGGTAGCAAAAGACCAGCTCTGTACTGGCGGGCATGTCCCGCGACGCGCGGATTATCATGACGTCTCCGATGAAGGAGCGACAGCAATTCTCCAAGCAAGAATGGTTGATATGGGAGGCGATGGTCCAGATGCCGCAGGTAGTGTGTCCGATTTCCACTTTCTTGCCGGGTGCTGGGAGGTTGGCAAGGGTCGTGCGCGGGGCGCCGAAGCAGTTCAGGCTGATGGTTCTCTCGATGAGGAACCTGGGACGGAGTCAGTGAAAGGATCATAGGTGCCGCAGAGAAATATACACTCACGTGTCAACCGGGAGATCCTCTCCCTCAGCCGGCTTGACGGCGCGGTAGCCTCCTCGATGAAGGTCCATGAAACGCGACATCAGACCCGGGTTGTGGTGCAGCTTCTGTACAACAGAGGACACGAGGTTGGCCTGGCCGCCCATGCTCGATCGATTCGTACTCATGTTCATCAAAACCTTGACATTCTTACGACCAACGGGGTCATCTTCGTCGGCGTAGCAGTAGGCGAAAGCTTTTTCGCAGAGGAGCAGGTCACCGGCCTTGACGGCTTTGGTAGTGAAGAGACCGTTGCCGCGTCCAGGAGAGGCACGCACTTCGACGGGAGAAGAGTAGGTAGCGCAGTCAATGATCGGTGGAGTTGCTTGGGCTTGCTTGTACATCTGATTCCATGTGTACTGGCCTGTTGCCTCCTCGTGCAGGCGGATCCGGGTCTTCTTGAGTTCATTCTTGGCATCCCTGTTGTCGGCGTTGAGGTTGAGGAGTTCAACTAGTCTGCTCTCGGCCAGACTGAACTGCTGCATTGCGTAGTGAGCCTTCGCCTCTCGGAAGAGACCCTTTTCGGTCGGATCGCCGCCATCGCGAGCTCTGAGGGCATCTTTGAGGGCCTTTTCGGGGCGGTCGAGGCGTAAGTTTGCCAGAGAACGGTTCAGGAGGGCTGCTTGCTGCTCTGGGATGGTTGTGGCGAAGCTGAGTGCAGTGGAGTACCTACCAAATGTTAGATGTGCGAACTTGTCTGATGCCCAGTGATATTGTCAGACTTACAGGCACTCGGCAGTTCCCCAATCCTGTTCGGCGACCGCCGCGTTGCCTTGCAAGCGAATCTGCTCCGAATCACCGCTGATGCTTCTGGGCGCTCGCCACACCTCCGGGACACGCTCATCGTTGCTGGGAAGAATGACAATGTCGCCAACGTGGTCCACTCGCAGACTGTACGAGCCGCTCGGCGTGTCCTTGAAGAAAGGCTCCTTGATGAGGCAGACGCTGCCCTGAGGCAGGATGTCATCGGCCTTGACGATGCTCTCCTCAGGCTGGTTGTACAACTGAAGCAGGACAGCGGTACCCTCTTCGTCTTCTACGATGACCGTGATTGCGCTGGGTCTGCATGTGACCGTAAGCGTGCGGACGACGACGAGGTGACCGCGGTGGTGCTCCTGGAGCCTCATCTTCGAGATCGGCAGCGGCGTGAGGGCCCGAGCTGGACGGATGCAGGGAGGGTACGGCGGAGGCACTTGGGTGGTGATCATTGTTTCCATCCCGTCGGGAAGCCCTCTGGAAGATCTCGCGGCGTTGAACTGGCCGACCATAAGGGAGGAAGGCAGATGGTCGCGGGGAATCTCGCCCTTCCGACGGTTGGAACGCTCTGCATCGTCGAAGATTGCTCGAAATTGGGCCGCCATCTCCGATGACTCGGAGACATCCTTGATATCCATGACGAAGTCTGTGGGTGTTGATGAGGCGACGAGGATTGTCAGCGGGATTTGACAAACAGAGGTCAGGGAGAAGGAGAGAAAGATGATGGAGATAAAGATAGAGACGATTGGAGACGATGGCAGAAGACGACCACAGCGGACTGTGGCAACGACAGCAGCGACGATGGCAGCAAGAACGCAGGAAATGGAGCAGCGCAGACCCAGGAACATTAGGCGATCTCTATGTACCCGCCTGAAGAGTTTTCATGCAGGTACCAACGAACAAGCCGCGTGACGACAAAACGAATCTGGTCACTACTTTACGTGGGAAACTTCCATGGCCGTTGCCGAGAAAGAGGCCTAACCAAAGAACCAACGAAACAAATCAGCATGCCTCAGCTGTTCCAGTCGGTGCTTTGTATACACAAGTTCAAAAAAGCCACTCAGACACGTAAAAGAAAGTAGACGGTCTCCTTCATCAACCCAACTGGCATAATTAGCTTCTGTAAGCAAGAAAAGCTCATGCTTTAGGTTCAAAGAAGACTTTGATCATAAAGAAATGTTCCCGGTTGAAGTACCTCTATTCCATCAACTCCGAAGTGCTAGCCCCGCGATAACTAGGGACTGACAGTCTGACTCTACCACATGATTGGTTTGTCAATCTTACTGTCGGCATGGATTCCACACTCCCTAAACCGGTTGACAAGGTTCGTGATATCGTGGCCCTCGCCTTCAATACACACCTCTCTCAGACGAGGATATTTGCCCAATTCAATTTGATCTGCCAGCCATAACAAGTCTTCTGCAATCTCCCAACTGATTCCGGCAAGATGAAAACGTTCGAGAGAGGCAGGAAGGTTACTGATTGGCATGTTGTTCTCGTCTTCACGCGCCGCATTGTCGAGGGAGTTTACGCTGATCCACAGACTCCTAAGCTGTGTAAAGTCCGGAAATGAGGAAATTCGCCACATGAGCGAACGCCGTAAATTGTTGGGGCGGAAGTCCAAAACAAATGTATGTAGGAACGACGCCTGATTGCCACTGGCGAAGGCGCCGCACGAACCAACGGGGTGCATTTCACGGTGCATAGACGCAATCTGATGCTCTGCCTCGACATGAATGAACGATTTTAACTGCTCGCAAGACCCAACGATGGATGAGAGCTCATCAAAATCGGCATACACGCCATGAATAGCTAAAGAACTGATCCGAGTATTCCTGGGCAAGCTCATGAGATGGTAACGTTGGACGAATAGGTTGCAGAGGTTTGGAGCGGCGATGAACAAATTATTCAGATCTGTGTCTCGTAATCCACTGGGCTCGCATTCGTACTTATGGTGGTCTAAACCACGACTGGTGCCTCTGAGAGCAAGCGACTGGAGGGCCGGGAAGCGAATGCCTTCTATAAGACCGCAAAAGTTGTCAATGAAGCTGAGATGAGACTCTGAAACTTCCAGAAAGAGCTCCTCCATGCGGTGTAGGTGTAGTAGGAGCAGAATAGAGGCCATAAAGGCGAAGGAGACTGGTCCTTCTTTGCAAGCCTCGTAAACTGTGAACAGTCGCCCAGGCACGGGATATATGGGGAGGAACCTGAGACGCCTATTGATGGTGATGCCCAATGAAGCAGCTGTCTGCTCCAGGAACATGATGTCGGCTTCTTGCACCATCCCGGGGCTCTCATCGACTTCGTCAATGTGTAGGTGGAAGTCCCTGATAGATTTGCGGATGATGTCGTTCCATCGAACCAGCCGCAAGAGCGATATCATTTTCGACGCTGATGTTTTCCCAGCGATGCTAATTGACGTGTATGACTCTCTAAATAAGAGTCCGCGAAACTCCTTGTTGACTAGAGAGAGGTTTGTGACACTCTTCTGCACCTGATGAAGAACGTGGTCAATCTCTTCATCTGTGGTGTGGAGCACGTGCCTGGGAGAGCGCTCGGATCGAATGACAGAGCAGATGATGAGGATAACTTCCTTCGGGAGGTTGACTAGTTGCACCATATTGAAGAAGCTAGGCGGGACGGCGCAAGCAGGTTCGATGATATAGAGTCAGACTGCTGTTGTGTTGGGTATGGAGCTATCTGCCTGTGAGAGTGAAATATCTGGAGAAAGGTGTCGATATGGGGAAAAGGAGCATATGAGTTGTCGTCACAATAAAACGAGACGTTTTGTAAATGGTAGGTCAGGTTATTTCTTATTGCAAGGGTGGCAAAAGAGGAAGCATATGTCAGTTGGGTTAGATTACCTTGAATGGCGGGGTAGGTTTTCACTCGTATGCGAATCAGAGGTCTGGAACATGCAATCTAGTGTCAATAAGCTTCCATCTTCTTAGAGGATCAGATAAATGTGGACGTTGCCCAGCCTATATTTAAAAACCTTGTTTTTTCCCTCTTGTTGGAAAACCTGACGTATTGGAGGAGGAAATATCCATCACCTTGTCCAGTCGAAGGCAGAAAGACCGAAAAGCCAATCGCCCTCAAGGCATAGCGAAGACGAAGCCTGAGTGGCCACATCCACCTAAACATATTGCGCCCGGCATATCCATACCAACTGGACCGCTTTGTGAAGGAAATTATTGTGAGGCACTGGAGTGAAACTTGGCCATGGGCCGTTCATTCGTACAATGAAGAAGACTTATCACTTGATTGATTTTCATCCAGCAAATGAACACTGCTTGACTTTTTATGGGTTTCATATTGACAGCTATCCACTCCAAGCGTAAATACAAGGGTTTAATATACATGTAGAAGAATAAGACACTCATTTGACCAAAGCCAACTCTCCCACCATCCGCCAGACAGCTCACCCCCTGGAATGCAAGCGACTACCGGTGCTTAAGCAGGGTAGACGCGAATAGGGGTCTCAATGGGCTCAGGGGGAGTGAGTCCAATGGTGACCTCGTAGCCCTTAGGGGGATGGAGGGCATCAGGGAGCTCGATGATGTTCTTGTAGTAGTCGGGAAGGCGAGAGCCGTACCAGAGCTTGGCAATGGCAGGGAGGATGGAACGGTAGCCACCACCGAAGATGTCCAGGTTGGGAGCGACGTACAAGTGGGAGGTGTTGGAGTCACTGCTGAAGACACCGCCGTAGCTCTGGTTCCAGTAGTAGTTCTCGAAGATGTCGCCGGCGATCTTGCTGCTCCACTCGCGGATCTTGTCCCCAGTCTTGGAGCCAACGAAGTTCCAGACGTTGGCACCGACGTCCCAACGGCCGAGGGTGTGGAGATCCCAGTTGGCCTGGACGGAAGAAAGCTCGGAGTAGTGGTTGTAGAAGGCGTTGTCCTTGGTGCCGACAAGCTCCTTGGGAACGGCAGAGCCGAGGAGGATACCGGCGACGTGGTTGCGCTCGAGAGGGTACTGGCCGTTGGCCTGCCAGGTAATGTAGACGAGGGTGCGGCCATCGTTGAACTTGGGGTCCTGGAGGAGGGGCTCGACGAAGCTGCGGGTCCAGTTGCAAGAGACAGAGATGTTGGTGTCGTGGCCGTTGTTGTACAGGTTGGGAGTGACGAACAGCCACTGGGGAAGGCGGTCGTTCTCGAGGTCCTCGTAGAAGAGAGTCAAGTTCTTGATCTTGGCCAGGCGGTCGGGGTTGAGTGAGACGGAGTCGAAGCGGACGAGGAGGTTGTGCTTGCGAGCATAGTCACCCTCCTCCTCGTTGTCGTACTCAAAGCCCTCGAAGCCAGAGTAGGGGAGACCCTCGTTGTAGTCACCCCAGCTGATGCCCTTGTCCTCGAGAAGGTCGACAATGGTGGAGACGTTCTTGTCAACCAAGAGGAAAGAGTCGCTGTTGGTGCCGAAGTCGTCACCACTGGCGGGGGCGACGTAGTTGGGCTGAGAAGGTGTGCCAATGCCGTACATCTCAGTGAGCAAGATACCCTGGTTGATCAGGGCCTGGCAGTTGGGGTCGGCGATGGAGTTGTTGTAGGCAGTGGTCTCGAGGTAGACCTGCATGATGCGGTCGAAGACCTTGCCCTTGACGTGAGAGGTAGGAGACTCGGTCTTGGCAGTAGCGGCGGCGGCAGCCACATCGGCGCTGGCAGTCGAGGTGTACTGGATGTCGGCCGCAGTGTTGACGGCAGTGGAAGAGACACTGGCAGAGATAGTCGGAGTAGGGTGTCCGTGACCACCGTTGCCGGTGCCGTTGCCATTACCGTGGCCATTACCGTGGCCATTGCCGTTGCCGTGACCGTTGCTCCAGTCGCCGCCGTTGTTGTTACCCTTGCCGTGGTCGTAGTCGTTGTCTTTTCCGTTACCTTTGCCGTGATCCTTGTTGTCCCAGTCATTTCCCTTGCCGGCGTCGCAAGCAGGGGCGGCCGCGGCGATGCTCGCGGCGGCGAGAAGCGCAAGGAAGCGAACCATCTTGGATTGCTTGGTATGTCAAAGAGTGTTATTCTCAAGAGAATGAGAATGAGATATCAGAGGGTGAGAGTCCTCAAGAGAGAATAGAGAGAGAGAGAGAGACAGAGAGAGAGAGATGGATGCGGATGAGGAGAGAAAAACTTGACCAGAATTGCGAACATGATCTCCGGTTATATAGCCTGTGCCAGTGTCCGTTTTTGATGTTGTTTCTCTGGAGGAGTAAAGAATACGCTGCTACCCGCGATAGGTCCTTGCTCTCACAAATTGCCTGTGCTTTCCTGAGCATGTTGCGAGGTCTGAGAACGAGAGGCTTGCCAGCTCCGCCTGGAGAAGCTCGTTGTTGATGTTGGATCCGAGCTCAATGGAGACGAAGCACAACTCCAAGTAGCATGGGAAACACTTTCTCGTTTCTGTGTTCAAAATTGACATCCAGATGCATAGGGCTGTGAGCTTCCAGCTGGGCCGGACCCGCAAGGACCCTGATAATAGGATCCTTGGACAGAAATGTTTGCAAGTCTGTCTGAGTCCTTCTCGACCGTTCCTACCGTTGCTAGATGGTCGCATGGGCGCTCCTCTTAGAAAGAGGACTCGTTCGTCTGAACACAGAGCGGAAGCCACGAAGCTTAATTGCCTTCAGACGATGCTAATTAAGCACTATTTTGCGGGTTGTATGGTCTGGGCTCTCGGTGTGGCTTGTTGGTTAAACCAACTTGGTCTTAGGAGGGAATCCCAAAACCCGGGGAAGCTGATCCTGCACAGAACACTCAGAAGCCATAGCTCCAACTGTTCGCTTGATGAACCCATGTACGGAGAGTCTATGGCACGCTACGAGAGCCGGATAGATCGGGGTTGAACCGGCGCTAAGATCAACGAATTTTGGCATGGGAGCTATTTTCTGACTGTTGTAAGTGTTTGCGAGTGAAATGAAACACAGTTGGGGGAAGGGAAAGCGTCGAACGATGTTGGATTTAAAACATTTCAAGTTTGGCGAAAGTAAGTCCTGGCGAGCCAGAGGCATCACAGGTATTATTTCAGAGCAGATGAGGAACTTGTCAGATCGTCGATTTGGGGAGGTACTGATACATAATAAACAGTCATCACAAAAGAACGCGAGGATGGGGCAATGGCCCAGCGACGATCTACCCTTTGACTCTCGGGTGCCCGATGCTAGTGCGAACTAGCACACTGCCACTTGGATCCGAAGGCTTGCATTTTGTAAAACAATGGCTACTGGCGGTTAGACAGCGTGGAGGAGAGGCATTCTATCAATTTCTGCAACGAAACAATGTTTCCCTAAAGCCTCGTTGGCATGGAAGCTGACCTTGTCTCGGACTGGTGGGTTGATAAACTTTCACCTCCAAGCCTTACTACTTGTAAACTTGTTGACGAATTCTCGACTGTTACTATGAAGCGCGTAGTCTGCACTTCCCAATAGTCCATGTGTATGTTTTGTTTATGAGACCAATCATCCATATTTCTCTCCGCAGCTTGTATCCGTAATCCTTATCCGAACACACGGATCATTTCCAGCCCAAGCAAGTGGTCATTTGGGAATAGCTTTAGTGGTGACGATGATAGTCCGCGAGTTTTCGATGGAACGCATGATTGATTCAGGTTCCACAAACGGTCTACCTCGTCAAATAAAGACTGTGGGGGTGCACAAAACTGGAATTTGCGCTCATCGAAACGCCTTCGATGATGTTATGGAATTTGAAACGGTCATCGACACTAAGAAAAATTCACAAGCACGAGGTGTACCGACGCCAACTCAATTCCGCCACTTTTCACCTTGCCCACCGACTTGCCTTCTCCAGCACAGCTCCAGCCAACCCGCACCCAATAACGGTCCATGTCCATTTGTTTGCAACTGCACTTCTGTTGGGCCAGAAGGAGTTTTTCTGCTGGCGATATCGATCAAGATCAATCTTCTTCTTTGGGGTTTCCCTCAGATATCGGGCCTCTTGGCTCTCCTCATTCTCCTTATCGCAACCAACATAGCGCAGGAAGACGTAGTTGGCCAAGGGACCGAGAAGTTCAAGAGGAGATAACATGCCAGTTGCGTACAGTAAAAGAGGAAAAGAGAAGTGAATGAGCGCGTCGCCAAGATAGCTCGTAAATGTTAGCGGCATGGTGCCAACTGAGAACGGGGCACTTACTTTGGGTGCCTGACGATGCTCCAGACTCCATCTTTACACATACTGTCATCGGCGTTATCGATACTCTTTTTGAATTGACCCAGCTGCCAGTCGGCTAGGATCTCAAGAGCGAACCCTGCGCCAAACAGTCCCACCGCTGCTGCATTGAACCACTCTGGGGATGGTGCTAGAAGGCTGCCTATGGCTTAGTGCCGGAAAGGAACAGTAAAAGGCAAAGCAATGATAGTCTGAAACAAAGCTTCGGGGAGGTAGACGGAGAAGAATGCCTTGTTCCAGAACCCAGGATCCTCCTTGGCGGCTTCGTAACGGGGGTCATCATGGCCTCGTTCAATGGAGCGTTCAGCGACTCGGTAGAAAAGGCGGCCTCCCCAGAGGGTCACACCGGTCAAAAGAAGAGTCTCGGTTCTGTTCATAGACTTCCAGACTGACGATAATGAAGCCCCGCCAACTAAGTGTCGACCAACTGCAGACCACCAAGCATTGGCAACTGGGCCGGTCGGCCAGAGCCAGTCTTTAGTGTCGAGTCTGTTGGTGACACGGCCAACAACGTATGCGGCAGCAGAAAGTCCAGAATGCAGTTTGAAAGAGGGAACGAGGGTGTTCTTAAAGATGCCCACGTCCAACGGTGCAGTCCCGATAGGGTGATGGCGCACAGTAGGCTCGGGGGGGAGAACAGGAGCGCGTGTGGGGCCCGGCCCGTAGGGCGCGGTAGTAACTGGTGCGCTCGCCATCGTGAAAGTAAAGCTATGATGTGCGGCTTTGAGCTTAGAAACCAGTACTAGCCAAATGAGACGGGACAGTTACATTTTTGAATTAAGATGTTTCAATGCTTTTTGATCGTGCTATAACAGGCTAAAAACAGATGCTAATTAATGACGTGACTACTACGTTCTACGTATCGCGATGTTGACGGGTGTATGACGCGAGTTGGTGGAATTCGCGGTAAATGATGTGTGTGCTTGACCGGAACAGCGAACAGGGATCAGTTTCCAATGGCCAATCATTCGGCGTGATTTCGCGGATTCTGAGATTCATGTGCTTCATTCTTTCTTGTCCAGAATAGCCTTGTAACGAGCTGTGTCCACCAAAGGCAGTTCTAAAAACTGCTTGCTCACTGTCTGCTAAGTAAGCTTCAATGGTCAAATCACACGAGTTGACTTTTGCCCGCAAGTTCAGTGACAGCCATGCCTTAGAAATTATCACAAGTGGTACGGTGCGAAGTTGAACCACTGACATATTGTGGGGATTGAATCGAGTAAACAACAGTCAAAATGCAACACGCTCATTGCTTCCAGACAGTATACGACTTCATCACACCACTCTGCCAGTCTTGAAGGATAAATGACGACCAATCCACGCTCTGGCAAGCAGGCTCCCAAGTCTTAGCACTATTGGGACAGTTATACTCACTAGAACTTCTGTGTCAGCTTTGTTTTATAGACAGCCAATGGAATGATGCGCAAGAAAAGTGCTGTTAAAACTTACTTGTAAAACCTTACGCATGAGTTTCCCTTCAAGATAACCCAATTTGCCTTTTGGGCCCAACCATCAGGACCGCTTTGCATGTTCACTTGAGCATACAACTGTTAATATAATTGATGAAAGGTATTAGGTGCGAGAATTGTACTAACCGCAACTACCAGCTGCAGGGCAGACCTCATGCTCTTCATAGGGCTCGCCAAAAGTGCTCCGCATGAATGTCAGACTGACCTGATCAGTGCTGCAGACTGCAGAGACCAAGGGGGCGAAAAGAGCGAGACTCAAGAGCTTCATTGCAACAATTCGTCTGTATGGGAAGAAGTCGAAGGCGAAGTGAGTGAAGCTGAAAGAATGTGCAGGCTTGACATGAACTCATTCATCAGCCTGTTAGTTTGATCTCAATCAAGTGCATTTTATAGTTTCTTACGGCCCCCAAAATCTCATATGTCTCCCTTCCAGGCAGTTGCATCGCTAATTTCTGACCTCGTAGGATGCTGCAACTTTGGCTTAAGTGCGACTCAGCCAATGATAGTAGCCCTGCCCCCAAAACCACCTTCCTAATTTCATCAACACACGGAGATGGATACCTTGTTATCCAATAGTTTCTGGCCAAGGTGGCGCTTCCGAGAGAAAAGTGCGAGAGCTCGTATTGAAACCCACCTATGTATGGCCCGATGGGCTCATGATAGCTGTTAGGCAGGAAGACGGGGGAGCTGAGCAAAGCCAAGCATGTAGGATCGCGGCCCTTGCCGATGCAAAGCTACGGCCCGTCTTGGCGCTCGCGGCATCAATTAAATGCCTGAAAGTCTTTCCGTTGTTTCTATGCAGAAGTCGGATTCAGCGATGAAAGCTACACATGGTAGCGCTTTGGGTCGTCGAGCCCTGGTTGGTTCTGAAAATTCGTGTCGTTCGAGTGCTTCCGAATGGTAATGGGTGTTTGTTACTTGTAGAGAAAGGTCTAGGCTTTATGCAGACTCAGTCACACCCTTCCTCGCCTCCTCGGCCCATGCCTTACTTTCTCTCTTCAGTTCCCTCATCACATACCAAAACGTAGCACCTGTCCATATTCCAGCCCACACGAACGGCAGCGACCAGCCGATGGTGTAAGCAACATCGCCGTCCAGAGTGAATATCAACACCGTGCAAAGCACGGCGCAAGCTTCGGCCCCGACCGCCCAGAATACCCCCAAGCGTCTCAGCATTGCTCTGAACACATGACTTGCTTCATATCTCCTGTCCAACGCCACTCTGAACTCCGTTCCGCCAGATCCGTCGACCGCGCAGATGTCTTCGATCAAGCTGTAGATCCCAGGCCGGAGTTGCGCGCCCTTGGGGATAGAGGATATGCGGCACGGTGCGGGGACGTGGAAATACCGCATGGTGTCGACTAACAGTAGTTCGGTGCCGAAAACGAAGAGCATCGTCGTGACTGGCATAGAGAGCAGGCGGATCGGTGGATGTTCTGGGACGGTGCCTCTGTGTCCACAATCAGAATCCATCCTCTAACATGAGCGGTACTGGGTAGCTACCGGAGGACTTACACGATCAGTTCAACCATGATTATGATCCAAGCGAATGAAAAGTTCCAGTGGAACCAGTCCAGGTACCAGCGATGCGCCCCGATGACTCTACACGTACTCCCCTTCCTCCATAAGCGCCAGAACCTGAGGAAGTACTCCACGATACTGGCTCCTCCCACCGCGGCGGTGACAATTGAAAAGACCGCGTTTGGGGTAAGCTTTTCCTTCTTCTCAGTGGGCGTGTTGGTCCCGGGCCCGACGCCGTACCAAAGACCAAAGTATAGAGCTATCGGCATCGCGATGGAGTCGAAGAGGATCAAGGCCCAAAAGAGGAATATCGCGAGTTTACGGGTACGCAGAGTGTAGTTTAGCGGAGGAGGGGTCGGCTGGAACGTGGGTCTCGACGGTGCTCCCTCATCCACAGGAGAAGCCGGGTGGGCTGCGTGCGTCGTAGACGGGCGTGGGGACCGGATGGATACGCCCGAAGGTCGGGGAGAACGGGTCGGCGACAGGGAGGATCGCCGGGTCATCGCCAGGGAAGGGCGGCCGAATGGGCCATCGTAACGACGGTCGAAATCATGGCTTGGTCTCGTCTTGCGGTGCGTCGGCGAAACGGGAGGTGGATGAACTGGCGAGTTGGCCGTGTCGAGGTTGTGCAAGCTTCTCGCCTTCTTCTCGTCGAGGTCTAGGTCCGGCTTGTTGACATCCTTGCTTGAGTCTGCCCCGACTGCCCTCTTCTCGCTGTCGGATTGAGGTGACATGGCGACACGATGACCTTGGGTTATTTGCAAGCTGTGCCGACCGAGCATCGTGGGATCTCGCAGTGAGGCATCATCGCTGGTAATCGGATGCGGATGGGCCGGATTTGTGGCACCAGCCTGTTCCGGACTACGCTTCTCATCCATGATTGAACATTGACTGGTGTGTACTGTCGAGTCTCAGGATGCGCAGATGTTCGCTTGAACAATGGCAAAGAATGAGAGGAAACATTAAAACATTAGACATAGGGCAATCGGGATTCTATTAGCTAGTGATCGCGGGGTGCGTGATAACGGCGAAAGACATCCCATCGCCAAGACGCAAACGAGAAGACGATCATGACCACCTGGAGCTTCAAACAGCAGGTAAAGGGTACAAATGACGGCGTCGGACGATCAGTTGGGAGGAGGTCACTGAAGAAAGGTCGAAGGCTCTAGAGCATCATTGTGGGAACAGGGTCACAGGAGCAGAGGCTCCGTCGAAGGGAATGATGTCAGAATGAAGACCGTGGCGAAACCGAGATGCCCTCCCCTGTCTCTGGTGGTGTTCATCTGCCAATTAAGAATGCGGAGGTTGCCGGTTACGTGGACATTCAATCAATGATGCCTCTCGGTTGCATCTGAAGAAAGCATGATGTTCGGGAGTCTCGTGATGGCGCTGGGGGCTTTCTGCCTCCCGCGGGTGCTGTGGATGCGACGGAGGGAAGAAGATATTGAAGGGAGCATCCTGAATCGACAATGAGATTGACGGCGAGAGATGAGATAAGCTCCGGCCAAGGGCGCTGCCAAGCGGCTGCCGTGGCGTCACCCACTGAAACTGTTCCTGCAGTGCCCTGAAATTCGTCGAATGTCGCTGAACTCTGACCGCTTAGTCACTCAATCCTCCTCTCAGAGTGAGAGAAAACAGGCGGTGTTGATTGGGCGAACATCACTATGCCGGGGTTCACCTCCGAACCCCTCCACTGAAGGATCCGACGATACATGACCGACCCCTCATCCCGGCCTCATGAGGCACGTTTGATGCTGTGCTCACGACAATCATGATGTTACTTATCTAAGAAGACCTCTGATATCGCAAGGCCTTTTGTTTTTGCGAAAATGCGCTTAATTAACACCAATACGCTGGAACTAGAAGACTTCGCCAGCAATGATCTTATTCCTCCCTACGCCATTCTATCCCATACATGGGGTGACGGTGAGGTGACCTTTCACGACTGGCAGGATGGTGAAGCAAGAGTCAAGAAGAAGGGCTTCTACAAAATTCAGTCAACATGCAGACAGGCTGCCCACGACGGCTACTTACATGCATGGGTTGACACCAATTGCATTGACAAGAGCAGCTCCGCAGAGCTATCGGAAGCTATCAACTCCATGTTCGCCTGGTATGAAAATGCCGCCGTTTGTTATGTCTACATGCCCGATGTTATACAATTACCAACCAAGGGATACGGCATCTATTTTCAAGAGAGCAGATGGTTCACGCGGGGCTGGACGCTGCAAGAGCTCATCGCCCCTCGAAACATCGTGTTTTACGGCCGCGACTGGGAGATGCTGGGGACAAAGACCGGGCTCGCCACGACCATATCGAAACGAATCACGAAAATTCCCAGAGAGTGTTTGCTGAACGAGCGGCCTCTCTCCAGCTTCAGCACCGCACAGATAATGTCGTGGGCCTCTTCACGCGTTACGACTCGCCCAGAAGACCAGGCGTATTGCCTTTTAGGGTTGTTTGGTGTCAACATGCCGCTTCTCTATGGTGAAGGCTCCAAGGCGTTCGTGAGACTGCAGGAGGAAATCATCAAGATATCCGACGACCAGAGCATATTCGCCTGCGATATGGAAGCTCTGGCTATGAGTGCCCCCATGGCGACGTCCCCACACCTTTTCTCTGGCTCATCCCAGGTGGAAAGACGAGCGCCTGCTGCTTCTCACACGACAACTCTCCCCCCATTCTACTCCATGACGAATGCGGGTCTTTCTATCTCTCTGCCCCTTGTAGACACACTCTCTCCTCATTTCGTTCTCGGCAAGATCAGCTGCAGGCTACCAGGAGACGGCGGCGGGCCTATTCTGCTCCCGTTATCCTCACATGTGAGCGACTACCGCCATCAGTACACACGCGTATCCGTTCCCTCAGCATGGATCGCAATGTTTTGTGACTCTATCAAGAAACTGCTTCCCTTGTACGAAGAGAGTTCTGACTTCCCCGAAAATTGGGCCGTCGACTTCGACCCCGAAGAGATGACTAACATCATGATCACGATGCCGAAACAAGCTGAACAGATCTATCTCCATAGAAGAGTCTTCAGCTCTTTGAGAAGAATGGGCGCCAAGGTTTTCTATCTCATTGTATTCCCACGAGGGCTATCGGGGTATCGTCTGTACGCTGCCGATCCGCCAGAGGCCCTTGAAGAACGCACAAGCATGATGGCCATGGTCGGAAAGAGCGACGCCGATGAAGTCGGCAGAGGTCTTCTCATTTTCAAGAAAAGAGGCTCCGGCCGAGAGGGCGGGCAATACGTGGCAGTCTATCTCGAGACGGGGCTGGACGAGGACCTTCCATTAGAAGAGCAATTTTATGGATGGCGCCGCAGGTGCCGTGTATTTCCGAATTGGAATATCCACGATACTCTGAGGGATGTCAAGCCTTTCGGCGATGAGTTTCTTGGTGAAAGGGGGAGGGCGAGCTGGGTAGGCGACTTCCTGGTGACGGTGAGGACCATGCTCCCGGTCGATTCTCCGCACTGAAATGGGGGGTGGTTGTGTGTAGGAACAAAATGCAGGGCGCGGTAAAAGGACCGCTGCAAGATGTTGATTTCTAAGAAGAACGCTGCTAATCTGCATACGCGCGTGGGCGTTAAATATGTATGCGCACTGCTTACGTACGCGTGGTTTCTAGCTAGGTAGGCGCCCTACCCCACTTCAATCCTCCCCAAACCACGCGAACGGAAGCAACTAACCCCACTAAAGAAAACGGGCTCCGCAGGAAAAAAAAAAGACCGAAAAAACGAACTCGAACCCTAAACCTCTAATATCTCGATCGCAATATAACTAACTAGACCATTCGTCATTCCTGGCTTTCTTCGATATCCTTCTCTGGGCCTACTGCGGCTATAACATCAAACGGGGGCCTCGTGGCTATTAAGTGTAGTGGTAATACGGCGCGCGGGCGCGTATAGTGGCGTGTGGGCGCGACAGTTAGGTCGGCTTCTAGGGCGCGGCGGCAGCGGCGGCAGCGGCGGCGGCGGAGGGCGTATTGTGGAGGGCGCGGCGCGGAGGGCGCGGCGGCAACGGCGGCAGCGGCGGCGAGGCAGGCCTGGCGACGAGGGCACGGCGTGGAGGGCGCGGCGGCAACGGCAGCA